AAATTTTATTGACATTTTAAGTAAATATTGTTTAATGTTTTTTTATTTATAAAAATTTCATGATATTATTTAAACAATAATTAGATTTTTAATTTTTTTTATTTTATTATATTTTTGATTGTGTATAGTAAGGAGTATATAGAGTGATTAAATTTTTAATCTTTTTTTCATTTTATTTTTTATTTTTATTATAGGAGGAAGAGGCATAAACTATAAAAGAAAAACTACAGATATTAAATCACCTTTGGGAAAAGGTAAAAATTCATCAATTATCAATTTTTTATTATATTGAATATACTTGAGTTTTTTTAAAAATTAAATAATTATCTATTTTTTTATACAGGACGTGGAAAATGACAAAAACATTGACAATTTTGATATATTTGGATTTTTTTAATAAAACGGACTTTTATGCAGACTTTAGGATGTTCTTATGGATAAGACTTACATAATTTATGTATAACAATTTTAATAAGAAACTACAATATTTTTTTTGACTAGACTGGCAAGAAAAAGAAAAGTATAATACAATAGAAAAGTACATTATATGTACATATAAATAAAATAAGTTTGTATAAATAATAAAATTTATTTTATTATCTGCCTACAAACTTGAATTTCAATTATTTTTTTAATAATCATAATCCTCAATTTTAGATAATTTTTGATATTGAAAAATTTAATACACTTAATATGCAAATTATTTTTTATCATTAATTATTTTGTCTACAATACAAGTGAAATTTAATAAATATATTGAGTTAATTGATATATTCATTTAATTATATAATATATTAATTCTCGTTTTCGAAAAGTTAAAAAAATGAGAGATAATTACTTTTTTTATTTTTTGATATGTCATTTTTAATACAAAATATATAGTATAAGAGCAGTACTCATGAATATATTTAAAGAAGACTTCATTATATTGTAAGTTAGTAATCATCATAATCTGTTTCTGATTTGGACTTTTTTGTTTTTTTTTGTGTATATTGTTATGTTTTGATAGTTAAAAAATTTGAATCTTAAACTGTAATTTTTCGATGAATAACGAATAAAAGTCAATACTGATAAAAAAAATATAAAAGAAATATAAAAAAAAATTGTTTAAATTATAAATTTTAAATTATAGATTTTATTTACGAATTGAAAATTTTTATAATATATTGATAATACATATAAAGAATTTTATATATAGTTCATAACATTAGTTTAATATGTGACGCTGATTCGTACATTGCTTGCACATAACGCTGATTCATATATTTTAAATTAATAATAAAAATATTTGATATTTAATTTACATATATATATATAGTAATTAATTTTACTTTTTATTTTTTTTTAAATTTTAAATTTTTTATATTAATTAAATTTTTTAATGTTTTACATTAAGAAATAAAGAAATAAATATTAAACAGATAGATTTGATCTATCTATTTAATATTACATTATATTAATCTTATATACATACATTAATTATATAAGGTTACTAACATAAAAAATACGAGCATATGTTTGATAATAAAATATAACTATATTCAAAATATAAAAATATACATAATGTAATTACGTGCATATAAAAAACATTCAAGAAGAAAAAAAGTATTATATTATTCTAATATTCGATATATGTATGTATATTATATTTTTTACAATATTAATAAAATAATTATATATTAAAAAATTAAAGATTAAAAAAACATAAAAGCACAAAAATTCATGAGAATTCATTAAGCAGTCATAAAAAATTTACTAGATTTTTATAATAACGTACAATGGAACCAAGTTATTCTCAATACTTGATAAATAATAAATACTGATTATTAATACAGCTAATAATTAGTTTTAAAACTATTACTGTTAGCTATAATATTTCTCTAATTAAGTAAAAATTATAAAAAAAATAAAACGGCACGAATTATAATTTGAACAATGTGCTAATAATGAAGTCATAGACATAGTAGTGACACCTACAAGAAAATGAAATTAATAACGGATCGATTTATTCAATTAAATTTGTATTAAAATATTTTTCTAATTAATCTTGTTAAAAGAAGATATTTATAAAACTAAAATGTGTACATAATATAGAATGATCCATTTAAATAAATACACTTATACTTTTCATTTATGATGATATGAAAAATATTTTATGCAAGAATATATTACGTAATTTGAATGATATCAGAGATCAATACGTTATACAGAATATTTTTTAAGGTCTATTTTTTTTTTTTAGTTTCTAAAATTATTGATGTTTTTTTTACAAATAAATGAATACTTTTTTGTAAAAAAAATAAAAAATAAAACAAAAAAAAGGAATAAAAGATAAAATACAATATTTATTTTATATTGATATAAAAATAAAGAGGTTAGAATTAATACTTATGAGAAATAAATTTCGAAATCAAACACATCATCCTTATATACATATATACATACAATACATACATCAAGGCACAGCAGCAAATTGAATGATACATTTGAAATTAAAGACTGCTATATGTATATCACGAAACTAACGTCATCAGGCAATCTTCTGTAACACAAACGATACATTCGACTTAGCAACACGTCAGTAGATACTTTGAAGATGCGCCAGGTATGTCCGGTTCGACAAGACTGAACCTGCACCGACTTGTTTCGGAGCAGAATTCTGAATCATTTGACCAGACGCATTGGAAACAGATTTAATACTCTTATATTTTTTCCGCGAAAAACAAACTGCGAAATTTCAAAATGCCAATAAACAATATTATTTATTAATTTATCATTATTTAATTTATCATATAAACAGAATATTAATAATTTCCAATTTTTAAAATATGAATTTTATAAATACTTTTCAATAGAATTCTCATATATTTAAACTATGATATTATAATAAATAATATTATCTTTGTAAATAATGTAAATAAAATTAAATAAATAACAAATATAAATAAATTATAATGTATAAATATAATACAAAATAAAATAAAATTAAATTATATTAAATTATTTTTATACAAATATCTATAGTTATAATTATTATTATAATTATATGTATTATTATTATTTATAATATATATTTATAATTGCATTGTAGAATTCTACAATATTTTTATATAATAATTAGATATTTATAAAATTTTTTTTAGAATTATAATATATATTATGTTTAAAAATTTAAATTAATAATATTTCAATTATAAGTTGCGAAAAGTATAAAATTTAATTATTTTATTATAGATTTATTTTTATATTTTTTTTATTATTCGTATCTTTTAGTAATTCTACTAATCGTCAATAGATGGTAGCACAATTGCATTTGACAGTTCCAAACAATATTTACTTTTAAAAATCTTATTTTTATTAATTTTATTGTCCAATGAGTAATTAAGATTTAAAAATGAAGCTAATTCAATAATTTTTCTTTAAAACTTTTACAATTAAATAAATTTTCAATATTAATAATATATTAGAATGAAATAGTTCAATTGCTAATTGATGTATTTCCATATAACTGTTTCTAAGAACAGCCATTTTTTTCAAAAGATGATGCAATCAATGACACATCGACCATATTGCTAATCATTTTTTAAATCATAAAATTATTTACCGCTATTTTTAGAAAAAAATCAAATTGTAAGATGAAATGTCATCGAAATCAGTTCTACTTTTACAATAAGTCAAAACTGTCGAAACAGTTCCCATCGGACTATAGCCTATCGGATGTTAAGCGAAAGCCGCCAGCTGGGAGTGCTATTTTGAACGAAATACAGTGTTGCCAAATCGCGAGGCAAGTAAGTTCAAACACGTGCCCTGTGTTTTGCTCTTGGAAAGAGATAACTGCGTTACCTGACAAAACAGAATGTTTGCTTTTCACTTCATTCAATGTAAAATTTTTCGCTTATCTTAATAAAAAATACAAATTTGAAATGGAAATTTGTCACTATTTAACAATCAACTTCATATAGCTTTGATTATATTTTAGAAACACGTGTCACACTATTCGAACATTAAAACATGCGAATATTCAAACGAAGAGGGAAACTTAAATCTGAGAATAAAATATTGCATGCTCCAATAAGTTTCTTATATACTACTTAATTTCACTCCAATTTAATTATTTATATAAAAATTCTAATAATAAGATGATTTAAAAAACATTTATGTTACAAATATAATTTATATAAAATTATAATTTCTTATTTTCAAAAGAATTTTTCAAAGCCATGCCCAAGAGTCTCCAGCTGGACAAGAAAGTTCAGGTTCGATGGAGAAAATGTGGCAACGTAGCAACTGCGTGAGCCGAGATGCGCGGCATGAATAGCACCGACGTTGATGGGCCGACCCGTTGTCGACGGCTGGAGGGGAAAGGAATAGGGTAAAAGTTTCCACGATGGTAGGGATGGACAGGAAACGATGAAACGGAAGGGGGATGCGATACATTCTGCATGTGGTGGTCGTCGGTGAGAGTAATATAACCGAGGTAATGTTACCCAGTTGCTGTTTACGGAGAGTTTTTGGAAATTTCATAAGCACATCTAGTTTCCCGGTTAAATTTGAAGCGCGGCAAATCAAATTGTCCAATCATAATAATCGAACTATTACACGTTAGCTATACATCGACTAACATATGCTTCATGAAAATCAAACTAATGAGAACAACTATGATGGAAATACATATACACATATGAAATATTTTGTAAATTATCGAACTTATAGATAATAATATCGTTAATGCTTTCACGTAGACATTCTGCGCGCGAATCAATTTAAATTCCATTTTGAATTTCACAATATAAAATGTTGATAATATTTATTATACAATGTAATTATTATATAATATAACAATAATTTGAACGAATAGTTAATTCTTACATAATCTGACTAGAGGTTAAAAAAATATCTTTAACGGTTAAAAAAAGATATACATATACATGAATTGTATTGTTTGAAAATTTTTAGTTTAAAGATTCTTGAGAAACGTCGGACATAGTGCGGCGTATTGGTGACGGTGAAATCGTAGAGGGGACGACCCCTCTTGCCCTACTCCGCTGTGCGCAACGTCATTGTGCTGTGTGGGGCCATGATTGTTGGAGTGTGTGTGCGTCCCTCGAGCTACGCGCAGACCTGCCCAGTAAATACGAGGTTTCCGTTCTCTGTGCGTGTTGAAAGAGTGCGTAGTAAAGGAAGAAAAGTCTTGTCTCATCGGCATCCTGGATCACCGGCGTGTCCATCATGCCGTTGAGTATTGGGGTTAACTTAAGAGTGACCGGACACTGTAATCAGGGCGGTCGTAAGTACATGGAGGACATGTTCAGCGTGGCTTTTCAATCGACACCGGATGACAAAGATTTGGAATATGCCTTCTTCGGAATATTCGATGGCCATGGTGGCGGCGAAGCAGCTACTTTTGCCAAAGAACATCTAATGAATGTTATTGTAAAACAGAAGAATTTTTGGAGTGATCGTGACGAGGATGTACTTCGAGCCATCAAAGACGGATATGTGAACACGCACTATGCGATGTGGCGGGAGCTTGGTAAAAATCTTATTTTCCTGTTTATTTCGTTATTTTTACTATTTTATTTGTTTCTAGTAAAATTTAAATACATTCTGAATGTATTCATCCAAAAACTCAGTATATTTAGTATTTTTTTAATAACTTCTCTCATTGTCCCGCGTATTTCCCCCACCACCTGTGCCTGATTAGGTTAGAATTTAGGTTATGTAATCTGAGCTAACCTGAAAATTTGAATTCGAAGAAAAAGTAGTTGAAAGAAAATATTCAATTTGTTTGATATTTCTATTATCAATTTGTCTATTATGAAACAAAGAATTGTAAAATGTGATTTATTGTAAAATTCTCGAACATATATGTTAATGTTAATTTATATTTTTATGACAGATAAATGGCCAAGAACCGCATCCGGATTACCATCTACGGCTGGGACTACGGCTAGCATAGCCTTCATTCGTAAAGGAAAGATTTATTTAGGCCATGTAGGAGATTCTGCCATAATATTGGGATACCAAGTAGATGGTGATCCTCAATGGCGAGCCGAAGCTTTAACCAAGGATCATAAGCCAGAAAGTGGACCAGAAATGATGAGAATACGTGAATCTGGTGGTAAAGTTGTTAGTAAATCTGGAGTTCCAAGAGTTGTATGGAACAGACCTCGTATAGGACATAAAGGACCAGTTCGAAGATCAACTCATATAGATGAAATTCCTTTTCTTGCTGTTGCTAGATCATTAGGTATATTGTTGAAATTGTATATTGTATTGAATATTAAGAAAAAATTCATATTAATATGCAAAATATATAATTATCGATCTTATATTTTTTAGGTGATCTTTGGAGTTATAATTCTGAATTAAACACATTTGTTGTATCTCCAGAACCAGATGTTAAAGTAGTTGCAATTGATGTTGAATCACATCGTTGTCTTATTTTTGGAACAGATGGTTTATGGAATATGTTAACACCTCAAACTGCAGTAGCTATAGTTCAAGCCGCAGATAGACATAACGAAAAACATCTAATTGCTTCTCAACAAACATGTAATGGGGTATGTTTAAATTAATTTATATAAAATATTGCAAATAAATGCAAAAAATATATATTCCTAATTGCTATTTTATATATAACAGCAAACTGATAATGTTCAACTATGGATAAATCCTTCAAAAAGTTTAGTAGATAGAGCATTAGAAAAATGGTCATCAAAAAGATTACGTGCAGATAATACAAGTGTAGTTACATTGATGTTAGATCCACCAGGTCCATCTCGTAGTGAGGTATGTATTGTTGTTAATAATTAAAAGTATTTCCATTTTTCATATAAATCGTTATAAAAAATAAAAATTGCAAGAAAATATTGCTCATTTTTGTCATAATATTAATCAAAGAATTTAAAGCTTTCTGGTTTTTTTTTAAAGGTTCTATTGAGTCAGAAAGAATGTCTTGTGATGCATCATACGATCCATACACCTACACCTGTACCTGTTGAAACTCCAGAGAGATTGAATTATAATCCAGTCTTTTTGAGTATACCAAGACCTTCTCCCATGATAAATCATAATGATCTTAAAGGATCAGATTTCTCAGATCAAATTCAAGAAAATAAAAAGGAATCGAATGTAGAAAATATTTTACTTGTAGAAAAAGTAGAAGAAAATCAAAATCAAGTAGATGAAAAGCACATGTCTATTCAGAAAACTTTTGTAGATGAAAATATTCAAGCTATAGAAACATCATCCAATAAAGTATTAGAAAGAAGTATAGAAGTAAATAATCTTGAATCTGAAACAATTCCAGTAGAAAAAATCGAAAATATCGAAGAACAAACAAAAACAACAAAACAGGAACATGATGTGCTGATTCATGATCTATTAATTTCACAAAATTCATCTGAAATAGAAAATAAAAACGATCCTAACGTTTCAAATGTGATTCACCAAAGTGCATTTTCTAATGATTGTAATGGTACACATTCTTCTGCAGTTGTTAACAACATAGAAAATAATGAAACTATTTCGGAAAATACTGCTTGTAGAGAAAATGAAATAAAAACTAACATATTGAATGGATCACGTCATAAACAATCAACAGTGTTTTCTACATCAAGAAAAGAAGTCCGAAGCAGAAGAAGAAGACACAGTTTAAATACACATTCGCGTAACACTCTCATGGATACGGGTTCTCTAGAAACAAAAACATATGTAAATTCTAGACTTAAATCGCGTAGTACAAAAGTGTCTGTGACAAATAACATGGTAGAGGAAGGTGTGAAAAACTCGGCAAATAAAACGAGCAGTAGTGCTATTGGTAAACGAAGACATAGTGCAATATCTCAGAGTGTAATTAACACGGTCGAAGAATCATGTATATTACAAGAACCATGCGTTAAAAGGAGAACGCGCTCAGAGGATCGTCCAAATCCGGTCGATGAGAATGATCCAGCAAATCAAGCCACGAAAGATGCGAGTGGTAATTTAAGTTGGACTACCACAGAATCCAATATTACTCGTTCTACAGCTGGTGCTACCACTGTACCTGTACAGGAAAGACTGTCTTCGCTAAATAACTTCCAAAGAAATTTGGGAAAGAAAGCTACACCGGTGAAGACTATTAGAAGACCATCTATTAAAGGTCTGTTAAAACAGTTGTGGGCTGCTAGTCTCAGTGCAAGAGAGTGGGATCAGGGGAGAAGTAATCGATCAAATAATTGTAACGAGCGGAGGATAAATCGAACTATGTCTATTATAGGTTCTTCGGATAATACCACCGTACCGCAACGTTGGCTCAGGTTGGTTTTCTTATTGCTTAATTTTTTTATCACATGTAACAAGTTCATATTTACACGTGATATTTTTGCAACTTCTTACTTGATTAATTGATTATGTTTTCTTCTTTTTTATTTTCAGGTCGGATACTATTGCGGCGACACCTGTAAAAACACTACGCTCACGTAATGTAGATATAACTGGTCACACGATATCTGCACAATTAGTACATCAGTATGGCATAGTAAAGCAAAGTCGACTTTCTTTGCCAAGTAAATTGAAACAGTCCAATAATAATGGATTTCTACAATCGAGTAGAGTAAGGTCTTCGTCTTTAACATCTAGTATAAAACAAGCTAGCAGTAATAATGGAAATGGAGCTTGTTCTACGATTAATCCTACCAACACGGGATGTAACTCTAGTTCCGGAATGGCTAAAAGAGTTAAATCACCATATAACCCGAGTGCTAGATCATTAAGCACGCGATCTCGCATTAAACGCCTTGGAAAATGAGATAGGGTAATGTATATTAATTATATTACTTGTTACATTAAACAGGGTATTTTTTACCCTGATCAAATTTTTATTTACTTCGCTTTTCATATTTATGAAAAGATACTAGTTGAAAGAAAAGCTATTCTCGTATTATTGCATTTTATCTTGAAGCTTAAAGATAATGTAGATAAGCTCAATTGACTCAATTTTCCAAACATCTTGTCGGGATTAGATTTGCATTTTATGGACCAATCAATTTACGTAACAAAAAATTATCAATTTCCGTTGTTTCCTATTTTAGTTCTAACTTCTTCTTACAATTTTCTTGCTAGTAAGTAATAAATAATCACACGTATTACACGAAGATACTATTGTAAATAAAGCAATAGTTTGTTATCAATAAAGTAGTATCTTAAACTTCCACGGCACACTACGGGTGAAAAGTCGATCATATTTTTCATATTTGCATATTTTCACGCATTGAAGAATATCAATAATGTAGATATTCATTGAATAATGTAATAACGTGTTTTTTCGTGTTTCGTTCTCGAGAAAGGAATATAACAGAAATAAAATTGCATGCTTATTTTCCGATTGTAGATAATTGAAAATCGTGATGATCTTATTGTTATTCATGTATAATTTCCCAAATGTAACAGTATCCTTTTATCACCGTACAACGCATATTTTTTGATTGAAAAGTTAATATTATTTATTTCGTTTTTCAAGTATGATTAAAATATTTCTCTTTCTCAAATAACAAATCACGATATTAATTTTATCAATTGTTTCATTTGAATCTGATTTTGTCATCAGAAAACTAAATACATTTTTATCACTTTTCACTTTCTTAAAAGTCAGTTTGACTATATGTATAAGTAATATTGAAAGACTTCTTTTATTTTTTATGCTTTCTAATATCTGACTAGCTTATGAAGCGTTAATTATAAGAGAAGAAGTTTAAAATTAAAAAAAAAAGAAGTACATGAACATATGTATAAAATATGTGAGCATGAAAAGACTTAAAAAAAAAAAAAAAAAAAAAAACAAGAGAATGACTGTACCGACAGAGTGTGTATGTGATTTGTAGAAATTATTTCGAACAATTCCTCAACTTGTTCGGACGATGCGATTTTTTAATCGATTTAATAGTATTATTAAATCGGTTAAAAAAACTACATCGTCTGAATGAGTTGTAAAAGTTACAGTCTTCTAAGAAGGAATGATTTTTAAACGGATTAACAAGTCGTTAAAGAGAAAATATGACTTGTTAGAATTAAAAATTAAAATATCTAGTACGTAGGTACGTAATCATCTGCTTTGGCCGAGTGAGTAGCTGTTCAAAATTCATTCGATAATAAAAAAAAAAAAATGAATATAGTCGTTAAATTTTGATATTTAACTTTATACAATGATAGCACAAAGTCGTAAGAAAGTCTTTTGATACATAAAAGATTCACAAATATTTCAATGCAATTTTATTCACTATTGTAAGCGTTCAAACACGATAGAATTTTGAATAGCAACCACTTTGGCACGAAGTGATACAGAAAATGACTGTCTATTATGCGATACAAAATTTAGATTATATTTAGAGTAATTTAAGAAAAGAAGTGATTTAATGAGCGAATGAAGTAAATTTCATTTGTTTATAGATGTTCAATAATGTAAATCATTGAAGCAGTAAACTTAATACAAATGTTCCATATAATTTTGTGCATAAATTCTTAAATAGGAACATATTCTATTAAAAGTTTTGTTTTTGTGTATTTGTTGAGAATGTAATTTTGAATTTTGTGGTACTATTTTAAGATAATTTGAAATTTGTGGATAGTCAACGAAGCGTACTTTAGAAATTTAGTTTGAAAGTTTAGTTGAGTATGTGAATATGAAAAAATAAATTATAAATGATTAGAACGAGACAAGTAAATTCTCGTCTATGTGTTACAATCTTATTTAAATGATACGATGATTGTTGACGATTTTTGTTAAGAAATATTTAAAAATATAATCAAGTTATTTTTAGGGTAATTTTTAATCAACTTTTATAGTTGGATTTTTTTCTCTATATATAAATAATATTGTAATAAGAGAATTTACTGTGTCCAAATTATCTGAATTATCTATGTAAAAATTATTTAGCCAGATAAAAATAGAGGAAAAAGAAAAGCCTGATTATATGTTGAAAAAGTTTATGTTTATATAAATTTATCAATATTTTTATATTTTTATGTTTCATTATAGACAGTGCAGAGAAACATAATTATATCAAAGAGCTGAGAAGGATATGATAAAGAAAAGAAAATAATGACACGTGCCTACAATAGTTACCATTTAAATGTGTATATATATATGTATAAAGTGTATTCATATATATCATGGACCAAGAAGAAAATAATTTTTCATTGATTTACTGGAGATACGAGTACCAAATAAGATATATATATATATATATATATGTATATATATATGTATATATATATGTATGTATATATATACATGAAGTAGGAAAAGGGTCAAATATATAAATATGAATGGACCTTAAACTATTTCTTCTTGGTGCATGCAATACAAGTAGCACTGTGTATACATATAAATATATATAACTATGTATGTAAATATATATAAAGACGCATATATATACATACATATGTAAAATAAAAACACGTATATTTGAAAGTCATCTACATACGTGTAGATATAATTAAAAACAAATAAGATATAGATGATTGTGCTCATAGAAAATAAAAAAACATTTTTGCTAGTGTTTATTTATATACATGAAGAATTATAATATACATAAAAATAAAAAATACGAAATAAAGAAATGGACGTGGAAAAGAAGTCCGTCTGGTTGCGCTTGTAGATTTAACATTCGTTACATAGATGATAAATTAAAAAATCTAAGTATTTTCTGAGAGTTCAAATAAATGGAAACAGAAATAAGATTTAATAGGATAATGGAAATGTATAGTGAACGAAAATTTATAGCTGGTTTATCTCAGGTTAAGTATAGGTTGAAGGAGGCGAACTCGAACAAATGTGTGATCACGTTTCAAATCTGTATATTTTAATTAAATAAACTGAAATATACAAATGTTTTTAGCAAATGTTTTCTTTACGAATACCAGCATAAGCTCTCATTGTGCAGTGCCTAAAAACTTAATCGCAATAATTATCAAATTGTATGAAAAAAATATATTATCTAAGAAAATATTTTAAAAATAGCAATTCTATCATATTAAAAATTAATTAATTCATTATTTTTATTTTGTTATAGATATTTTGACTTTGAAATAATGCAGAATTATTGATTAAAATAAAATTTAAAAAACTGTGGAACTGAAATGCAAAATGGGATATTACAAAAATCACTTAAACGGTTGTTATATTTCTATGCTGTTATTTGAAAAAATACAATTTTACATATATACAGCGACAGTTAAGTTGAATTTTTCTTTTTTATCTCATTTCATATGTATAATTTATAGGCATTTGCACAAATATAATTAGCTCACATACACGTATTTTTAAAGATATAATACTAATATATATATCATACATAATAATGTACATGCTAAATATTAATTTAACTTATATACCAATAATAAATACTTTCTTTTTCTTTTAAACCATCACTTTTACAAATATTAGATAAATTTTGAATAAAGTATTAGTGATGGATTACAATGTAAATAGAATTACGATAACTGACAGAATATAATTCGTTAGAAGAATTGTCATACATGCTTGTATAGTTTAATTTTTAACACAAAATGTTTTATTAAGTTACGCATTTTTATCTTATTCTTTTTTTTTTTTTTTTTTTTATTAAACTCATAGATAGAATAAAATATCCAAAATTTATAAAAGTTATCTGTAATTATACGTGTGATATAATACTGAAAATACTATAAATCTAAAATTTATATTATTACACATTATTTTTTTTTTTTTTTTAATATCAAATTTCGATTATTTTAATTTTTTTTATAATAGTAATTATTTAATTACATAATAATTTCGAATTGTATTTATGTTAAAATGTGAAAACAAATTTTTAATAATAATAAAAAACATTATTATTTTATTATTTAATAGTTATTAATTTTAATTTTTTAAATACTTGATAAATGATTAATGAAATTTTTTATCAAATTAAATGAAATTTTAATTCAGATATAATACATTGTTTTATGTATGTATAACACCGTAATAACACAAGAAATTTTTATCATTTGCTCTTAATATTTGTAATATGTGCAATTTTATTTTTTTATCATTATATAATATTTTTGCAGCCAGTCACTCTTTCATATTAAAGTATTTATTTGAAAAATATCAATTTAATAATAATAATCAACTTTTTAAAAATCGAAATAACAAGCAAAACATTCAAAAAAAGAAAAAATATTTACCTTTTAATATTTTTTTTTAAAAAAAATTCTTTTTTAGAAAGCATATTATAAATTTTATTTATTTAATGAATTCATTATCCTGTATGCTCATAATAATAAAATAAATTTCAAAGCATTACAAATCATTTAAAAATATCTTACTAAAGAAAAAAAGGAAATGAATTACACTTTAGAGAATTTTAAAAAATATAAAATTGTATTTTAACCTCTGTCTTTCGATTCTTTACAAATTAACAATTAAAAAAATATTAAAATACTAATTATCGCAAGATATAATTATAAATATGTTTAATACATTATTTTAATATTCGTAATATCTAGAGAAAATATTTATGGAAAGTGTAATTCATTTCTTTCTTTTTTATAGCAATAAATTTTTTAAAGATTTTTTTATACTGTGAAATTCGTGTATATTACGATTATTTACAATAATTGAATCGGTATTTTAGCGTGCTTCAGTTCAAACACACGCACACGCATACGTATTAAAAGACAAATACGATAAGGCACAGAATACATATTATTATTTACGAACAATCATTATATGTGATTGTACAGCCCCGATAAATAAAAAAAAGGCATAAAAATTAAATTAATAAATAAAATTGATTAATTTTCTAGCGTGAAAGATTTAAATATTTGTATATTTTAATTATTGAAACATAATTATTAAAATAGTAATTTAATTTGTATTCTAAGATTAATCATAAAAAGATACCAGTCTCTCATTTTCCCTAATGATTCATCTCAAATCTATTTGAAATATTTTTCATTACATTCATTTATTTCTGGAATTTTATTATCATATGAAAAATCATATATATACACATTTAGCCTTTTTTAGATTATTCGGGGCGATAATAAAAAAAGTAAATATATATACTTGGTAACAGTGTAATATGTGTGTGCATTGTGTATGTGTCACACGCCATTAAGCGTATTCACATTAAAAAATTATTTATTTTTTTAAAGAACAAGTTATTATTATGATGGAAAATCTGTAAATTTTATTTACACTTACTTAAAAAGACTTAATTTATTAATTAATGAAAATACTCTTAACAACGTCGAATATTAGCATCTCTCACTCATTCACTGTCATAGTCAATTGTTTTTGATATCATTATAACAAAAATTCATACATAATTGCACAATCTGATTAAAATTTTTATTCCTAATTATTTTTTATTATTTATTTAAAGAAAATATCCTTTTTTTATGTTATACATGACATTTAGATGGTTAAATAGAAATATTACATTAAGCAATGGCATTTTTCTTTGCTGGCTTTGCATGATGCTTAAATAAAATAAAAAATTGAAATACTACTTTGTTTAATATAAATAAGTAATTAAAGTATTTTCTCAAATTTTTTGATTATCGAAAATAGCAGAATTAAATATAGATATATTTTTATCTAATTCATAAAATATTATAATTTATTATCATTTATTATCATCTATAGAGTTTGAAAAATAAAATATTAAAAATATACATAAATTTGGACGCGTCAAACATCTCATACGCCTCTTATTTTAGAATTTCGAATTCCCATTTAATGACTAATCGTGTAAAAGTAGTATGAGTTACATTATACTTATGTACTTACACTTAAACATATATAGATATTTACATTTTCCTTTTATACATAATTTAAGACATTTATAAAGATGAAGTTTTAAATCTCGAATAATGACACATGAAATAGCAATTGCATAAGAATTCTCGCATACTTTGCCTTTCTTTTTTAACATATTCCACATGCATAATTCTCTCCAGTAATTATCAAGTAAAAGTATTAGCATATAATGTATAATTATTAAATAGATTTCATGGAAAATAAAATACATCAAATTATTACCTGTATAAATGAAATCTATTATACGGAACTTATTTTTTATCTTTTTCATTTTTAGCCATGATAGAAGAAAGAATGTTTAATAATAAATCCTAGATAAGCTGATTTTACATGCGAAATCGAATAAAAAATAAAGAATAACAATGCTCATTTAAATGAAATTAAAAATTCTTGAATTGAGCAACCTTTTGTTAGTATTTATATTTTTTTATTAATACTAAAAATGATTAATTATTATTAATTACTATTATCTGTACATTTGTATGTTTATTATTTTCTGCAATTAAAAGTATAATGAAAGAATATGTTAAAGGTAAAATGAAAATTTGCACCATAATATTTTATGGTATATGTATAAGTTTAATTTTTTTTAAGAAAAATAGAAATTGATATAAAAAAAATTGTATTCTATATTTTCGATTCGATTTTTTACATGTATAATTATATGATTTTTTTTAATGTTTATTGTAGAATACCCTATCTATATGGTACATAATACATTGTGTTTTTATTTTAGTGACAAACAAGAATGTAATGTTTCATTGTGATTGCTGTAATTAATATCTGATATTGGAAGCACCAATTCATTTTTAATAGACATAGAAGAAAGATATACAAAGAAAGATTAATATATTTACTTTAATTGGTTACACTATAATAAAAGAATCATTAAATAACTAATGACTTGACGTTCGAAGATCTTTATGACAAAAATTGCCTAGTAAACTGTTATCAAATGTTTTTCAGTCTTGGGAGAGTAAAATGTTCCTTGATTCGCGAATAGTCGTGTTTGATTCTTTTACCACGGCATTCGTTCGAGAACGAAATTAAATTGTTAAATTTATTTATTACTCGGGCATTTTATATGTTGCTCAAGTATATAATTCATCATTCTTTTTCTTTTCCAAATTTAGTTTAGTATCTTTTTTTCTTTTAATAAGACATTTAACCTTAAAGCATGAAATTATGCTTTAATTATGCTCATGTATATGCACATAAATGCATTAGATTAAAACTTAAAACGTCGAAAAACGTCGACTTCAGTCGTTTGGTTTGCAATAAATTCTACGAAACTCTGCACGTTGTGGCAATAAATAATTTTCATAAATACATTTTTTTTTTTTACCATAAATTTTTTGGAAAGTTAGGAACCAATAAATGTTCGAGACTAGTTTTAATTCAATTTTGTGAGTTAGAGTTTTGATTTATTAATATATACGTGCATTGCTTGAAATAATAATAATAAAAAAAATGAAAGGTTTTTTTTTTCATTTTCCAAACATTATATTCCCTTAATCAACTTGAGCAGTGTACCTTTTTGGCATATTTCTATGACCACAGTCGTTCGCGTTAGATACGTTATTGTTTCCTCTTCGGGGAAATCGTAGAATGAGACAAAAATGCACATGTTCACCGACAAATCATTCAGCATTCTTGTAAATGTACAAGTATATACGAGGCACCGTTTTAAAACGCTAATATGTACAATTGTTCGTCCTAACATTCTCAGGTGAAAAATATACGCAACATGATTCTTTTAGAATGAAAACAACTACGTATGATCATTATCACGAAAAGCATTTTCTATATACTACCGATTCTGAATCTCTCGATAAATTGATTCCCATTTTATGTCAGTATTCCCTTTCTTTTCTTTCTATGCTGCCATCACACTTTTGTACTGCAAAGAAGATGAAGAAGTCAGCTTGATGAGAAATGAAGAGGAATTACAGGAACTAACGATCATAGGAGAAGTTTGCTGAAACTTTTGCAAGGTTATCCTTCAGAACCTAACCAACAAACTATTATTTTCGGCACCATTCAATTGGCATCATTTTTAACCGTCGATATTTTCTTAATCGCAATGAACGTTCTTTAAGTTAGTCTCGACACCGAAAATGCTCAGAAATGGCGGATGAACATGATCTCCATGCGTGATTAGACCAAATTTTTGGGCACTGCGAGCGCCATTGATCTTACGCTGAACTTCAGATATTTCAGGTGTCAAAAATGATTTCAGGTGCTGCCACTTGATCGGAACACACCTGTGGAGCACACGTTGTGCTCGTTTCACTACGGGCTACACGGCACAACCTTTTCGTACCCCATAAAGGATCTTCAATTCTGGAACGATGATCTTTCTTATCAATGCGTTCGTCTTAACTGTCAACATTTCACGGTGAGGGTCCTTCTTGAAGATTTTAATGCCCGGCCGATGGACCAGGAATGCATTGTCCAAGATGAGAAAATCATAATCGAGAACGCACAACGCGTAACCCTGAAACGAAAGTTAAACCGGGTTAATGATACTTTCTTCAGAGAAATCGTATTAGAGAGAATGCTTCATGAATATTGCATGAACACTTTTTTTGATTTTTTTTCTTTTTCTTTTTTTTTTCATTTTATATAAAACAAGTCGGAACTTGTTTAAAAAGATTATACTTTTATTTTTTTTTATTTTTCATTTTTTAAATTACGAATTTTCACATTAATTTTTACTCTCATTAATTATTATTATTATTATTAATAATTATTTAAAAATTATGGATAATAATGACTATTATATATATATTTTTTTTTTTGCTATTAATTTTTATAATTTTCAAGATTAATCCATATATGTTGGATTTAAACATTTTATATTATTTTTTGCATCACATTATCGATTTTGAAAACAATTTTTGATCGAACAATTTCATTGGAAATTTTGTGACAAAATGAAACTAGGCTGCGATTATCTCAAAACCGGAAATCATCTGCACCTGTGTCATTTTGTCGCTTTTCCCCTCCCAGCTAAGCCTCTCATCGTACAGAGGATCATTATTGGTCCCGATGAAAATCGGCTCCCAGTGAACGAAACTGCCTGTCCTTTTGCCGACATGAAACACGTGAAGATCCTCGGTTTCCGGCGCTTCTTGCCACTCTTTGCTTCGAGGAACGTTGTGACAGCCAGAACACAATTTTTTATGAAAGGGGATAGCCGTACCAGCCTTCAACATTTGAACCTGCAAAAATTATCAATTATTAATTTTGATAAAATGTATGAAATATCTGTACAAAAATCAGCGTATAAACGAATTGTTTTTTTTTTCGAAGTCTTATTTTTTCCACGAGTCAACAACTATAATAATAATCCAATAAAAATGTATAAACGATTTCAAGAATTTGGAAAGTGATCTTATCGCATAATTGATTGAAAAGAAATTTATCGATTCAAACAGTCTACCGTTGGAATTGAAAAACACGGTATTATGTGTGTGATATGAAAAAAGAAGCAAGAGCATATGTATATGAACATGTCATGATAATGAAATAAGGTTAGTTTTTAAAAAAATGAAATGAAATTGAATAGTGGAAATAGAAATGGCGGAACTGAATTGAATATTTCATAGAAGTGCGGCCAGCGGCCAGCTGCATTTCACAGTGATGCCACTAATTATACGTATCAAGGTCCACGGTCAAAGGAAGCGCCACTGATTAAACGACCCTCGCATTCATACCATTTAACGCATTGTCGGATATTATGCAGCCGTCATTGCGCTCTTTCGTATGCGTTTAATTGCCTTCAAGTTCAGTTTTCAACTTGAATGTCAAATGGAAATGAACTGCTACTTGTGATTTCTAATCTAAATAATACGAAGATTGTTTAATTGAACAATTAAAAAATGTTTCGTTATATATAAATTTCTTTAACTGCCTGTTTCAAAAGAAAAAAATCTTTAATCGATATTTTTCTTTATTTAACTTTTCTTTACTCATTGTCGAGTATCACAGTACATGAATTGAAATCGAATTCCTTATTGAATGCAGCGGTGTTCAACTATGTTCGAATGTCACGGCATAAAGGTTAACACAAAATCGCAGAAAAAATAAAAACAACACTCCATATAAAGATTAAACAATGAATATCTATTAATTTTCTTTCTAATATTTTCTTCAAATCATATTATTAATATTAACTAATAATTCTGTTTTCGATTATCATTTGATTATTGAAAATTGTTTTTATTTCACGAAATAGTAAATAGTAGAGATGGACAAATAAGTAAGGTTGGATTACAATTACGATGTGAAACTAGCTTATATTATACTTATTATATTTACTTATTTGGATTAATTTAGGGATTTATATCGAGAAATTATTATTACAAAATGCGATTAACAAACAATCGATATCTCAACTTACCAAATGTGTTTTATTGTTAGGCGGTTGACTTTTCTCGTCCACCTCAAAGATGGACAGTACAAAAACTTTGGGGTTAGGCTTATAGAGGGCGGGCTGGTCTCTCCTTCTGATCATCTCGAGGAACTTTGCCGGCAAATCTGGGTTCGGATAAAGCTCGATATCACTGGCGAATACATAGAACGTCGGCGCCGATTCACGCGCTATATTACGGCCTACGTTCACAGGGTACAACAGTTTCTTCTCGTTTTTATACATCTTTGAAAGCGTAACGTTCATCCATGGTGGTCCAAGCGTGCAGTTATACGTGTCGGATATAACTTTCTCGGCTGGAGATACCTATTTTAGAACCAGATTGTACCATATAATAATAATAACACTTTGGAAACTGGATACTGTATAGAATAAGCCATCTAAGTCTGGAAAATCAATTATTATTCAAAATGATTCGTTATATCGATTAAAATTGTTTTGAATTGAAAATTAACAACAATATTATAAAAAAACTATGATTTCATATAATTGATTCTCTTTTTTATAGAAATATTAATGTAGAAATAGTAATGAATATTAAAATAAAATAACTTTTTTAGACGGAATTTTTTTTTGTACTTTTTTTAAATGTATCGATCAATCCAGCTTGCCTTTCCCTATAAAAGAGTATTAAATCATTTATACCCACAATATTTCCAGTCTTAAACGACTTAGACTTATATAACATCATAATGTAATTTGTAATTTCAGTGTTATTTTAATCGATACTGATAATAGATATAATAATATTCGGAAAAGAAAATTTTTTTTTTCTCACAACCAAAAATGCTTCTCTGTAAAATCTTAACAAGTTTCATCAATGATATTTCACCGCTCAAAGTAAGAAATTAAATTATCGGTCAGATAATTTAATCAGATAGAATAGATATAAAGAGGAACGAATTAAGCAATGGAAGCGAATGGTGGTATTTGGCAAAAGTGAAATGAAACTTACAGACACGCAGCATGAGAAACAAATTGCTAGGAGAAATACTTCCTGCGCTCCTCCGTTCTTTTCTGTGTGGCGAAACTCTGTTATTAATTTCTTATGCGTCACAACGTAACGCCGATATACATGCACGAAATTAATTAGAACACAAAATTATGATTGCGACTCATAGATTCAGAATACTACGCGCACAATAACGATTACACTGTGTGCGAAGATCCTACTTTCAGACTATATAACATCTGTCAGATTATATATGCAGAGCGAATAAACAGCAATTCCCTCCTATCCGTTTTGCTGATTGATTCTATTTTTTTTAATTACCACTTTTCAGAGATCTCGACCCACTTTTTATTTTCTTTTTTTTTTTTTTTTAGTAATCAAAAGAATAGTCTTTCCTAACTAGAGAATCTAATATTGATCTGATCATTCTTGAAAGATTTCTTCGCTTTGAAATGATGGTATACGCTCGAGAGAAAAGATAGAAAGGAGGATTAAGCCAACTTTCTAAATAGATTTTTTAATTAGAAAATTTCTTTTTTATACGAATTTTCTAATCGAAGAGTCTATGAAAAATGTTCAATTCTTCAAGTTCTTTCTATTCTATAGTTTTTTTTTTTTTAAATTTCGGAGAGATTCTTATTGCCATATGCGTATAGTATCGATAGAAATGTAAAATAACATTAAATTCAAGATAAGGAAAATGGAAATACGAATGAATTAGAATAAAAGAAGAACGAACGAATTGAAGAAGTTTCAAATAAATTAAGAAAAGAAAAAGAAAAAAAAAGAAAAACTTTTTAAATTCACTAATCAAAAGATTTGCGGGAAAGGAAATTTTCCTCTCTTCGAACAATTGAACAAAATTTCCATGAATAAATCATCTAACGTGAATAATTTTTTTAACGAGAATTGAACGAAATGATTAATCGTATTCTCTGCGATTATCTCGTAAAATTTAAATAAAAGATCCTCGTTTTCATTTCTCATGAATGAGAAGATTTCCTGGACCAATTCTTTCGCGAGTATGTCATACGTAATATATACATGTAGATAAAAAAAAAAAAATAATATAATGCAATAAATAAATAAAAAGTGCGGAAGAGTAATTAATGTCACGCAATGGAAACGCGAACGAGACTAAAACACGGCCCATCCTACGTACTGGCAGCGTATCAACAAGTGACACGATGATATCGAAATTGTGCGCGGTCAGCAACGTCTTGTGTTTTCGATACGTGAGTGATTTACACATCAAACGTGTCGGGTGAATCTCGTGGATACCTTTAAAAACCAGCCTCACCACCAAGATGTTGGACAGTTTTCAGAGAAGGATCGCAAGAGCAATCTGAAAAAAGAAATGTATCTCAACGTTTATTTCACGTTTCTGTTGCTGGGTCTGGCGATAGCTCAAGCTTCACCAACGGAGAAGAAAGAAGAATCAAGGGGAGAAGGATTGAAAGGGGAGGAACCGAAGATCGAACAGACTGGTGAAGACGTGGACAGATCTAAGAAGTCGGTGTTTCCTCACAAGATAACAGGGGTACAACACATTCAGAGAGTCTCGAATAATGTTCAAACCCTGAACATACAGCCGGATGTAAAGTCTACCAATATTCAGTTTCCACAACCTGTTCAAACTGTGAACATTCAAGAACGGCAATCTGCTCAAATCAACATCCAACCAGCAGTTCAAACGCTCAACATTCAAAGGCCGCAATCTGTTCAAACTCTCAACATCCAGCCAGCTTCTCAGACTGTTCAAACTTTGAGCGTTCGGGGCCCACAATCTGTCCAAACTTTGAGCATCCAAAGTCCACAACCCGTTCAAACTCTCAACGTTCAAGGCCCACCGACTGTTCAAACGCTCGGCATCCAACCAAGTTTACAAAGAGTCCAAACTTTGAGCATACAAGCCCCACCACAATCCGTTCAAACTCTCAATATTCAGCCAGGATCCCAAGCAATCTTGAACGTGATTCCACGTGGTCAGACCAGTGCCAATGTGATTGCATTTGGCCCTCATTCATCCAAGACCGTGCAAGTGTTCCAGCAGACGCATCCTGGCTCTCAAACCAACGTGAACATCGTCCAACCTTTGTTGAAAGAGCCAGTAGTGGAGAAGGTCACTCGTGTGGAGAAAATCGTGGAGAATGTTCCAGAAAGTGTGGTTGTTTCAGAGGTGGAGAAGGAGATCGTGACACCAGTTTTCACAGAACAAGTTGTTTATCCTCAATATTCCAGTGTCGTTGTCTCAGAACCTGAAACCATGGCTGCCTACATCAAGTATCCTTTCTTCAAGTATGGGAAACCGAAAATCATCTCTACCGTGAAGTCTAAATTGTTGGTTGAACATCCTCAAAAAGTAATGGAAGTCAAGGAACACGCTCTGTTGCATATATAAAGAGTGCTACATAATAACGTAGCAACAGACCTAGTCACCGACAAGAAATGTAAATCAAAATTTTTGACCAATATTAATGCTCGCCTCGATTCAAACATATATTTATTATTTATTTATTTATATTTATTTAATTTTTCCAATAGCTCTTTTAAATTCTCTCAGGAGCAAAATATTTTTGAAATTACACTAATTGATACACTAAATTGATGTTCAAATTAAAACAATAGAATTAATGATATACTGTTGCGAATTTATAACAATTAAATATTTCCGAAATCCTTTCTTCTCTTAACTCTTCGACTCTTCTTTCATAATGTCTTCAAACAGAATTATCAGAGAATATTAAACATGAAAATATTTAGAAAAAAGTAGAAACTTCCAACCTCTTATATATACCCATCCCAACAGACGACATCCTCGACGTTTCTTTATTAATTCGAATATACATCCAAAAGAAAAGAAAAGAAAAAAAGAAGAAAATGAATGTTCCAAGAAGAGAGAAAGAAAAAGAGAGGGGCAATATATCCCTTTACCCACCACTTTTGGCACGTGTTTGCTACTGAAGAATACATGGAAGGTGACCAGCTGGGAGACCAGCGGGCTGCCACAGTTTCTCGAGTACTTGATGGCGTCGAGAGTCGCCGCAAAGTCTGTCCCAGGGGCGTGCATCGCGATCGATATCGGGGCCCTCCATCGTTCCAGCAACGGTTCCAGATTATCCAGAAACGTGTAATCCGCGTGCGTGGTGTACGTCACACTCTCCCAGCACCTCACCCCCATGCTCATAGGCACGTAATTGTAAAGGACCCAGTAATCACCCCGTTGCGCCCTTCTCGGCTCCATCGACTTTTCGTTGCACGGAACGGCCTCCTTTAGGCTCATCGTTGGCTGAATCACCGGCGTGTCACTCTTCACCTTAAGGGCAGGAAACGAACGAATTAATTCAACGGGCCAAACTTCGATCGAAGATTCTGGCTGCGTTTTATTCGATCGGGAAATTTACATTGGATTATTGGGAAGAGAGTCAATTTGGGTCAAGTTTTCACCAAGCATGATGATTCTAGCATAAATAGAGAGAGAGAGAGAGAGAGAGAGTAAGATCAAGATTACATATTTATAAAAGAATTTTATGGTAGAATTAGTATAGTTGAACTAATAGCAGGATTAGAACTTGTATTTTTATTGGGGAAAAAAAGACTGTTTTTTTTACGATTCTTTCGTCTAATCGGTTTATTTAATCATTTGGAAATGAAAATTACACAAAATTGGAGACACGAGATCGAGTCAAGTTGGGCTAAAAAAGGTAAACGTGATAAATTGTTGGCAGGGATTGAATGGAAGAGAAATTTTGATCAACTTCTATCGTTTCCCTGATATAATTGTTCTTAGGGGTAGTTTATGAAGAGATGCTATGGAGAGGGTTGAAAATAATGAGATTAGATCCGGAAGGAAGGTCAGATATCGATGCGGATAGGATTAAAGTGGAAAGTTACACTTATTGGTTGGAATTATATTCCCTGATTCAATTCTTTCGCATAAATACACGAGAAATAGAAAATATAAAATAAATTAAAATAAGTTTTAATTAAAATTGGAAAGGAAAAAAAATTTTCCTTAACCGTTTTTCGTCAAGTTGTACGAGTTCTCAGAAAAAGAAAATAATATGACTATATATATATATATATACATTGGAATAAATATAAATTTTGACGTGTATATGTGTGGCACACTAAATTTTGCGATATCATCAATGTTTCCTGTTGGTTATTATTATTGGATACGTTCGTGGCTAAAAGCTTTTCCTTCAATTTTACACGAGGATCGAAAGAAGCGAGAGAGAAAGAGAGAGAGAGAGATACACGTTGAAGTTCCCCTCTTTAAAATATTGAACTGCACAGCGATTAGAACCGGCCTTCGAGCTCGATTTGGCGCGAATTAATCTCTCTGTACTTCTCTCAGGCTGCGAATTGCTCGACTTGACAAAAAAAAAAAAAAAAAGAAATTTAATCTCGCTCGTTCAGCTGACGTATTATTCAGATTTTTGAACTCGAACTTGATACGTGTCATCAAGTGGATTAATAATTTTTCTTTCGTCAAAAATTTTTTCACCAATTTAAAAGGAATTTTACGAAGAGCTGTAAAAGATGCACGAAAAATTGCGTTCCGCTATTATTTCCGAATTATTCTATTCTGGCTAATGACGTTTTCTCTTTCGCATTTATGATAACAGAAGACGCGTATCACGGATAATGCACATCGTGTGCACAGCGAAAATAACATAAAGTGGATCCAGTTAAGTGGCGAACGAATATTTCAGAGGACTAAAAGCAACGTAGATATGATGCCATAAAAAGGAACACTTTTTTTCTGAAGAGATGAATTGCAAAATTGCAAAAAAAAATTGAATATCGAAAAATATAGCGCGTGAAATATAATAATTTCTCCAAAATTATATCGTTCAATTGTTGTCAAGGTGGTCATGGGCGAATGGCATTAGCAAAATAATAGTTAAAAATCGCTGTATCCATCGCTGTTGTATCGCAGTTCACGAACGTTATCGTGCACGACAATGTAATGCGACAATGCAAAAGCACTTCTGAATCCGACGTGATCTCTCGAGACCCAACTGATCTTATTCAAAGATTAGGATTTTAAACGAGGTCGAGCCACTTTTCGACCAATGGCGGGGAAGCGAATTTCAGACGAGAGTCGATCGTTCCGTCGATGAATACATATTTCCATGATAAAATCTGACGAGATAAGATGGTACAGAGAATTGTACACGATGGACGTTGTGCACAATCCGAGAATCCTTTACTTGCCTCGTACAATGTGTCCCTCCGTTCCTCACATTTCCTCTCCAAAATTTTGTATCTTAAGTCGAACGAACGAAATTTGATGAATACGCCTTTGAAAAAATATATCCTTGATATTTCTCTACTTTATCGACGGGGTTAGGAAGGACAGAAATAAGAAATAATATATACATAACCTCAACTCGACGATTAGATCCAAAAATAATATCGTAATATATCTGTACTGATCTGATCTATCGTTTTATAATATTATGGAATAAAGTGTTTATCCAAACGAAACAAAAATTCGTGGTATTCTTATTAAAATATAAATACAGTGTTTGAATATAATACGAGGCGTAATATAACGTAATAACGAAAGATTTTAAATTATAAAATAGTTTTTCACAATCTGTGCAGTTGTTCCGAAGAAATCTGTGCTCATCGAATACGAACGTTGACGTGGAAGATATTTGATATAAGGTCAGAGTCATCAGAGTGTAAACGGTTGAAATATGCGGTTAAAAAAGAAAGGAGAAAAGAGCGAGATATTTTATTCGTTGATAAAATTTCACAGTTCAACGAGTGAGAAGGAAAAATTAATTAATCCACGCGTAATAACATCATTAAATGGAATATCCAGTTCGAAAATTGGATCAAAGAGAAACGATTCAATTTAAAAATTGGCGAAATAATGATCAGTTCAGATTGAAATTAAAATTAAAATTCGATTTGTTTGATACGTCCTTCGTGATGAATTATTCACAAATTCGATATTTATTTACCTCGAATTATCACCGATCAATTTCACGGATCGATCAACAGTTGTTCACCGATCATTTGTCGAACGTTATTATAATCGATGGGCATAAAGCGTACATAAATCGATCCAAAAACTATTGGAGAAATCTCGTCTCATCGAACTTTTCCATCAAACGATCTGCTCGAATGGACTAATCGTCCAATTTTTTTTTTTTTTGTTTCTAGCCGTTTTTCTGTTGGCCTTTCTCTTTTTTTACGTTTGGAATTGCAACGTTCAATCGCACGAACGCTTATCCAATCTGACATAGAAATTTGATTTTCTACCGATTGAAAATTAACAAAAATTAATGATTGAAAAATATTGGATACAATCGTTATAGCAACTTGATCTTTCCGTCTAACTATAGCGGGAAACCTAACCTAACCCAGATCGTATCTCCATACAATAGAATGTCGCCTAAGCCTAAATAGATCGTGAAATAATTTCCAATTATTTTAATACCAACTATTTAGATAGCCTATGAATTGAAAATAGTCGCTACTTGAATAATTTTTTCCTCATTTTCAATTTTCTGTTTTTTTCGATTATTATGGATCGAATTTAACCTCCTACTTTTGAAATAATTAAAATGTTTAAATCTTTTTTCTCTCAAATACATAAATTTGCAATATAATAAAATAAAAACTGAATTTTTTTATATTGCGCCATTTTACGCAATTAAGGAATTGTTGCTAGGTAAAAAAGAAAAAAAAATTAAGGAGTGCAAAGGGTTAACTAGTCAACGGAATAAAATTATTTCGATAATTCATCGAACGTAACGATAAATGGCAAATAATCGTAACTACAATAAAACAGCTACGAAAATAAAACGAAAAATCGTTCGAGCATATTTTTAATAATCGCTCAAAGCGATTTCATCATCCGGAAATTTTTAATCAACTTAACCCTTTGCGCTCGTAATTATGTTTAAAAAGGTTACCAATCAACTCGGAATTATTTTTCACATTACAAGTTTTAATAGAAAAAAAATGTGAAAAATACACAAATTTTTATCCGCATCTCGACCCCTTGATCAATAAAAATACTATATATAATATATGTATCTATATATATATATATATTGATTTTTCAAAATTTTTAAAAAGCAAATAAAACCAACCTCTAAATTAAGAAAGAACACGTAGGACACATAAACGTTCCAATATTCGAGAGCACGATCTCGTATTACGAAAATATATAATAATAATAATTCTGGTTTGGATGTCGTCTGCCACTCGTCGTCTATACTTGCCACAGTTGTACAAGAACATACACAACAGCTTGGGTCCAACACATAATATGCAACACTATAAACAACTATAACAAATTTATAGTTTTACTTCTTATCTCTCTCCTTCCTTTTCTTTCCGCTCCAAAGACATCCAATTTCAACCCCCTTGCCCTCATCCCTTCGAAAAATAAAAATCTCGCTCACCGTCTGATTACGCCTGCGGCCAGCCACTGCGTCGACGCCTGCTGCCTCGGCTTGCCTCGCCTCCTCGTTGCTGGTCGTCGGCCTTGCGGCCAGATGCCTCGCCCTGAGCTGGCCGCCCTTGCCCGCCCCGTCCTTGGTCGTGGGCACAGCTGACGAGGTGGCGCCCCTCTGGGTGCCGTTCACCGGGTCCACGGCGCCGAACGTTTCCGGCTGCAGCGGCGCCGCCCAGTTGGTCGGCGGCTCCTCGATCCAGGGCCCCGAGGACCCGTAATGGGCGCATACGTAGAGCAACACGCAGATATTGAGCACCACCGACACCCGCAGTGCCCAATTTCTACGCAATATGCCCAACATGCTCATCCTCCTCCACCACCGCCACCACCGCCACCCCCTCCACCACCACCGGGGGGAGGCCGGCTACCGTCTTTATCGGGCTCGTCTCTTCCACTCTTCCTCCCCACCCCTGCGCGGGGCCCGTCCTGCTCCGCGATCAGGATCTGGCCATGGCTCCTGGCCAGTCTCGACCCCCCTCCTCCTCCTCCTCCTCCTCCCCTCTGGAGCCGCCTCTGAAAATTAGACGTGGATCACGTTCGTTGCTTCCGTGTCGATCGTTCGATTTTTTTTTTTTTTTTGATAGAAAAGAATGCAACTCGCTTTTTGGGAAAAGTAAAAACGAATCGATCATTTTGATTGGATCTGTTCCAATTGTTGTTTTTTTTTATAAAATAATACAGTTTTTGGTAAAGCATTTTTTTTTTCTTATTCTTTAGATAAAGAATAGGTCCTTCGAAGGATAGGTTCTAAAGATATTCTAAAAATAAGCGCGCGCTGCTAGTTTTGCTTCGATCGATTGAAAAACTTGCAAAGATGTTTCATCACGAGGAAAGGAAAAATTGATATTAATTAATCGATATATTGTCTTTCAACGAGAACATGAATATCATCAATCACGGTACATCATTATCACCAAAGGATCGATAAGCCGCTAACAATCCATTCGACGAGAGGAGGATCACGTTTACGCAAGAGTTCACGGTGAAATCGAGGGAGAGCACGGTTAGAAATCTGTTAGCTGGCCGGCCATTTCTTAATCGGCGGACTACTTTGGCCAGGGAAAATCAATAAGGACGGGTTTAATTTTAGCTCCGCGAACGCGGAAACATCGATATCCCATTTATTATCATTCGTCGAACAGAAATATGCAAAAATTGGCCGTCAATTGTGCGATCAGAAACGCGAATATATTCGAGACTAAGCCATCAAGTTAAATCGATAATTCGATTGATTTTTCCTTTCTGCAAATATTTAAGGATACACGCGAGCTTTTAAATTATCATTGTCAACGCGTATTATAAATTCAAATTACTACTACCTCAACGACTAATCCCAAACTTTGAATTAATTAGATTGAGAAATCCGTGGAAACGCGTTGATTAAACAATATTCCACGATGGAAACGGACAATCGAATGTCATGCTTCGAGAGAGAGAGAACAAGCCAAGAGAGAGAGTTTACAACTGCAACTTGCAAGTAAAACACCGAGTCTGAATCTAAGCCGAGTCTTCTCCCCCTTCGCTCTTCAACTGGTATTATCTCAACCTGCTCTTTGAGGCCTTCCCCCTATACACACATACATATATATATATATCACTCCCAGAGGGTTGTACAAAGCCCTGTTTCACCGGTCGAACAATTCTTGCGCACGGTTATTAGCGAGAGCAGTGGCGAGAACAACGGTTGGAAATTGGCACGGCACTTTGTATCGCGACTTAATACGATATCCTAGACAGCAATTGGAGTTTCTGAAGTTGGATTGCACGTCACGAAGAGGGGAGAAGTTGGGCAACATTATGCCGGGAGGGGCACGACGATATTAACTTCCGATGATTATTACTCCGAGGACGAATAGGGACGAACGTCACGGATTATGCTTTATACGCGCGCGTGGCAAACTTGGAAACGATGTATAAACTTCCTAAACAGATATTCTTATCGTAATTATGATATATATATGTATGTGACCGGTTTGAAAATTATCGAACGTGAACGCTTTTCAATCGTTTTAAATTAAGATGTTTAAACGATTAATTATATTTTGTAAATATTAAGCTTTTTCATCGATCCGGAGAATTTGATATGAAATTTAGTCACCAGGAGTAGAAGAGTACTTAAAATACTCGTATCTAGACGATTAATTATATTTTGTAAATATTAAACTTTTTCATCGATCCGATGAAGAATTTGATATGAAATTTAGTCCATATACCGGGAGTAGAAGAGTAATTTTAAAAGACAGTGTTGCGAGTATTTTATGTACTTTCACTTTTCGTGAAATCGATTAAAGCAATCTTTCGATAGATATGCGAGTTTACTTTGCTCTTCTCGTTTAAATAAAATTTAAAGACGCGGAGTTGGTTGCTCCTGGCGTCGGGCAACCCGCCTGCATCGCACGATTACATTCAAAACGGAAGTTTTAAATAAAAATTTAAAGACGCGGAGTTGGTTGCTCCTGGCGTCGGGCAACCCGCCTTACATCGTTGCATCGCACGATTACATTGAAAACGGAAGTTTTAAATAACGAGAATAATTTTTATTATCACAAATATAGAGAAATATTTTAAACAGGTGTTATACGATATTTAAGCAGTACGATAGTACGTCGATATAGTTGATGCTATCGATAAATTTGAAAAATAAAAAAAGGGTAACATAACCTTTACGCTCGACGTTTCGGTTCGACTATTCGATTCGAGCGCGATGTATAACGTTATTCGAAATAATGCACGTGTAATAACGAAGAAACTCGACGAATAGGGACGAACCGAAATTCTAATGGAAGTTGCAAGAAGGCGTCAAGTTCGATCGAATCGTAATTAATAAGATTTAAAATAGAATATTGATTATTCGAAATATTCTTTGTACGAGAAAAGAAAAAAAAAATTAATCGATCGAAGATGCTCTCGAGCTCAATTTTCCAGCTTGGCATGCACTTCGTATAGAAGTAATGAATCGACTGGTAACGAGACAGCCCTACTTTCATTTCTTTTCTTTTTCTTTTTCGGAACAACTTTCCAATATATTCAAGAAATAGTTCAATAATTCGAAGAATTATCTTGTTATCGAAAGTTTCCTTGTAAAATTTTATCGTACATAAAAAAAAGTTAAATTCTGATTGAATTTCGGCTTGGCCTATTACGTTTAAATTAATGGCGGGAGCAGACAGTCTTGATTTATTTTATTCACGAATATTATTTATAAATTGGTTGACTTTTGATCCGAATTATAATAAGGATTAAATTCTGATTAAACTTAGGTTAAGTCTAAGATCGATCCTCGTATCGCTTTCCACTTATTTTTCATTCTCTCGGCGATCTAATGTTGCATACTTGCTCGAGTGGTTCGAAAGTGTCCCAATAATGGGACACCGTTTCGCGATCCTTGCCAGACGATTGCGCCACACTCCACAATTAATCGCTCTAAACCTGAAAAGAGAGGATACGAGATGAACGGTCGACGAACCGTTTCGTCGTGTCGCAAAGTTGGCGCCAGGGTAGGGGGAAGAAAATCGATGCAACTGTTTAATACGAGTGATTCATCGGGACTCGATTACCGTGCAAACGCGCGGTAGAGATCTTTCGGCGTGCTTATCGTTCACCTCGATGGCAACATCGAAATCTCGTCGCCACGGCCTTTAACGGACCCTTCCTGAAG